GAACTCCAGGATAACCCTGGTGCAGAGTACAACTGGGCTGAAAAAGGTGGCCTACAAAGGGAAGAGGCAGGATCCGAATGTGGCGTTTGGCACTCCCTGAAAGCTGGCTAAAAGCAAAATATTCCAAACGGTATCACACCACCAGATTTACCATCAGCTGCAGCAAAAACTGATTTGGCTCTTCCTCGTGGCCTAACTTGTGTAGCGTGCAAATAAATGCCATGACCTCTCCCTAGGGGAGGGTAAAAAATACCTCACAATGCCCCTTATGATTTAATCAAATTGAGTATTTTAGGGTGGGGGAATGGGAGGGAGAGATATTCTTGTTCCAGGGTTAACCTTATCTCCACTATTGTTAGGAGAAAAATACATCTCTCCGAGCAGATATTTGAACTATTTCTACTCAAACAAGTTTTATTGTGAAGCATTCTGGCAAGGACAGGCCAGTGAATAGGGGAAACCTAGGCTGAGCCAATGCTGCAGAATATTAATTTTGCCCTTGGACATGAAGGAAGAATCCCAAACTCGGTCTGTGCCTCTTCCTTTAAAGGGTTCTTTGCTTATTTGGAGCAGTCTACTGCAGGATTATAACTAGATTTTTTCCTACTGCAGCCCAGTTCAAAGCAGTTACCTGCCGCAGCTTGCGCTGCTGTACATTTAACTTAGGCATGTACGGTTTTCTCTCTTCTGGAGATGTATTTATTTTCGTGAACAGTGCCCATAATCCCTTAGACAGAAAAATAAAAGCTTTCAAAGAAATGTTTAGAAACGTCTCATAAATTCAAATGGATGCTTCATCTTAAACAAGGATTTGCCATAATGTATGCAGTGGTGAACTATCAGTTACATATTTAGTACAGATAAAAAGTATGTACCATAAATCAACAGCCACCTTTAAGGCTAAGCAGCACAAAGGTGTGTTTATGCAGTAAATATGAGGTAGCCTTTTGCTGTAAACAGAATAATAATCTTATTGTCGCCTATGTAAACAAAGTGGGCTTGATGCTTCTGTGTTTTTATTTTTTCCCCCTCCACCCCCCATCCCTCCCCTCCTAGAAAAGCAAAGCACCAGCAGCTCTGACTGGAAGTCAGTGGGAGCTGTGGGTGCCCAGCATCTCTGAAAGCTCAGACCCTGTGAATGTAAAGACACAAATGCTCACATAAGCAATCAGTACAGAATACCACTTTATCGTTTCACAGGAACTTATAATACAAAATGCTGAGATCTGATTATCAGAAATGTAGGTCTATGTCAACTCAGAGGTAGTTACTAATATCAGTACATAATACTTATATAGAGATAAAAAGGTCTAAGACTATTTGGTTTGTTCTGAGTAAGCAGGTCTGCAGACTATTCTGTAAAGGAAAAACAACATTACATGGTATATTCCCTGAGCAAAGTTCTTTGTCCTGAGTATGTTATGTAACAGTGATAACATTCTAATATATAAAAATAAAACCTTAAGCTTTCAACAATAAGATAGGGTTTGGTATGTGCTCTTAGCAGTTCAGTCTGACTTTGGTGCGCACAGTGATTTCAAACAGCACCAATTAAAATCTGCGTGTTGGAAATACTTCCTTATCTCAGCTCTGAACTTCTTACATATAAACAGGGAATGACCAGTTTTCAAATCCACAATTGCCTATTTCTATAAGGAACTTTGGTTTAAATTTTCAAAGTGACCTAAGTTTTGCATCTTTGCTGTTTAACCTGGTTTTTACACCGGCTAGAAGGTTAAGCAATGCCACTTTGATTTGTCTACATAATTTAAATAAGTTTACTATCCTTACGTAAGGCAAGGAAGTTCTTTTCTATAGATATATCACATTCAATATCGTCAAAGGTAAGCTTTGCATTAGCGTACTGAGAACTTCAGTATAAACCATCGTGATTCTCACAAACACTGGCAAGGAATTCACACAAAATAATTTTCTTGAAATTGTGCCCTTCACTGAGGCGTTTGATTACTACCTGTTTACTGAAGCAGCAGCAGCAGCAACAGTAGAAGTCTCATCTGGCAAGACAAGTGGGAAGGGGAAGGCCACGTAATAAGCCAGCTGCATACCCGTCGTAACTACCGCCTGCGAAAGAGTTACTATGGGTGAGACTTTGGCTGGCTGTAGCCTTTCATGCAGGCTGTTTCTTTAGTTTGATTATCCAAGCTTAAACCTACCTGACTCTTCCAAGCTTTTACAGCCTGTGTTTATTGCCAATGTTAAGGATTATACAGGTTTCTCTAATTCACTTACATCCGCAATGGGATTTGTCAAAGAACGTTATCTTATGTATGACTTGGTAATTCAGAAGTTACAAATGAAAAGTGACTTGAAGTTGTGATAGGCTCCAAATCTATTAACCCCAAGTAAGGGCTGCAGCCCAGGGAGTCTCACTGAGGCCACCAATCTTTCTCCTTTCTAATGCAGAAGTGCGTGGTCCCAGAGCACTCAGGACCAAGGCTGGTCAGCAACAGCCTCCAGTTCACAGGGAGCAGAGAACGCCCAGGGCTCCTGGCAAATTTGCAGGTCCCTCCACTCAGGTTTGTCCGCAGTAGACATCTGTCCTCCTTGACTATACACATGCTGTATCATGCAAGGGAGGCTGGCTGAGCAACCGCAAGTACTCATCTGTCTTTATTCTTAAGAAACTATTTAACCCAGGATCTCATTAACTTTGCATTTCGTTTTCTTTAAAACCAAAACAGACAACAACAAAAATCTCTAGAGAGTTTTCTCCATGGCATTTCAACAGAAATCAAGAGGGAAGTCCCTTCAAATTGAAGGGCACTACTCAGGACCAAGAGAAGTTGCTGCTGCTGCTGCTGCTGCCCCCAAAGTCCCCTAAATGTTCACGGAATACAAAAGGTTAAACAGGATGGTATCCTGATATCACTCTCAAAGGGGTCTGTTCAGTAACAACTTATACATTCTCCCCTACAAAACGGTCATCTAAATTACAGTTACAACCATATTAATATAACAAAACATTTCCAGAAACCAGCACAGAAACTACACATTCACTGTCTTTTCTGGAGCTTTGAACTCCTCATCAACAAAGGATGGTGGCAATGAGAGATGTGTTGATTCATGACGTTGCCCTGCATGGGCACAGGGAGGGGAGGGGTTTTGGTACTTTGTGGAGATGAGAAAGAAAGTAACTCAAATTGATGGCATGGGGGATGTCTTAGTATCTTTAGTACCATATGGCAGCTTTAAAATATGAAAGTATCCTTTGGTTCACAAGAAAAGTTAACAGTCTTGATCTCAGTTCTGGGTGTGGTTTTTCAGGTTTGATTTGTTTTTTGAGTGAGATTTTTTTGGGTTTTCTTGTTTGTTATTTTGAATGTGTTTGGAAATAGGTCCTAGGAATGTGTTCAGGAATATTTGTGGATGCTGTGCCTACTGCTTCACAGTAATATCTTGGGGGAGCTGGAGAGTGGTCTGATGGAAAAAGATGTATTTATAGATATGTACACATACACACACGCGCGTGCACACTCATACACACACATACAGAAGGTAAAACGTAACGCACCCTGCTCAAATGTATTTTGCTTGGAGTGATTTGTCTATTAAAGAAAAATATTCACAGTTCCTCAACAGTAGTTAAAATTCCAGGTCAGCTACTGATAATGAAATTATTTCCCCTGTACTTGCATGAGGTAGACATCCCAAGAGGATAAAGAAAATGGAAAGTTATGACAAATGCTTTTAAGTTTTTTTCCTTTTCTGAACAGAAGGCCCCTTTCTGCTCGGTTCTTCGGGCGATGCAGACAACCTACTGGACGAAGCTTCCTGTGGTGACCTGCCTGAGCGCTCAGAGTTCTCCGACCTGCCCTCCTGAGAGTACGATGGAGATGAGTAGCCGTGTGTTCCTCCCCCTTCTCTCGGGAAAGCAGAAGTGGAAGGATGCGGTTCAGCTTCGTGTCTTCCCTGAGAACTAGTGGGCTGCTGCGAGACAGTTTTATGGGGGCAGTTAGCCACCATGTGCATGATGCTCTGACAGTAATGGCACTTCTTTGGCTGTGGAGGTAGACTACATTCCTTAGCATGGTGGTCGAGCCCACCACAGTTGTAGCATCTAAAAACAGAGAGAGACAGCCAGTTATGAAATGCAGTGTCAGACTAAGATTTTTCTGCATCAGGTAAGCTCAGTGCAAGCAGACACAACCTTTGGTGGCAAAATGGTGGGAGTTTCTGCACCGATACCCCACTGCCATGGGCTAAGGCACATTTGAGTTTTCTTCTTTTTTTCCTCCTCTGTTGTACCGGTGCCAAAAAAAACCCACTTTGCCCTTGGGACCGGGAACCTCTTACCGGGGTCCCGGCCGGCCGGCTCGGCTCTCCCCTCATGGCGCGGCCTCCGCCTCCCGGCCGCGGCGCCACTAGAGGGCACCAGACATTCAAGCATCCCGCCGCCGCCGCCAGCGGTTCTCCTTACCCGGGTATCGGGAGCATTCAACGCTGCGAGTGCGAGCGTTTCAACCCCTGGCAGGACGAACACAGCAAAGCGGGGCGAGGAGAGGCAGTCGCTACTGCCGGCCTCCTCACCCTGAGGCGGTTTCACCCTGCGCGCAGCTGTCGCCGGGTCGGGGCCATAGAGAAACATGCAGAGAGCAGATACTCAGCCTCAGACATACCCGTGTCCTAATGGACACGCTGCTCTCAGCCAGGGAAACCCAAACGCGGAGGAGGGACGCGGTGCCCTGTTGCTACCCCGGCTCTCGCCTCCTCCTGCTCGGCCAAGGTACGGCAAGCGGGGTGCCCTGGCAGAAGTCATAAAACAGGGTCTTTTTTTTTTTCTCTTCAAACTCCCAAGCTGAGTGCAAGTGGTGGTGCCTAGAGATCCCATCTTCAATAGGCCAGGGCTGCCCGGGAGCCGAGGGGCACAGAGCACCTCCTCCATGCTGCAACGGCAAGGCCTCCTTCCCAGTGCTCAAAAATGGCTAAAATGCACTAAATACCCTTCTATGGACCTTGTTAGCCAGGGGAGTCCTGAAGAAACCTCCAGCAACTCCTTGCTGAATCCTCTCACTTTGTAACACACGCCAGGAACAGCAGCCCTTGGATTACATTATTTCAACACACAACACAAAGAAATAATTATACCTCTTTGGCATGGTGACCCTATGCCGGTCACGTTCACCACTGAGCTTTCTATTTCGGCAATTTTCCTATTGTTTCTGTTTCTTTGTTTTCGAAAACTTGCACTGAATGCATAGACATTTAATTTATTAACAGGCTACTGGAGAGAACTAAACTAGTAGTTTTTTTGCTTTCCCTTAACCATCAACTAATTTTAAAAAATGATTGCACAAATACAGTTAGGCCTGCTGTTGTCAACTGAATGATTAAAAAAGTCTGCAACTATAACTAATTATATGTACAAAATAGTGCTCTGGCTCAAGCCCACATGAAAATATTTTAAATGTTCAGATTTGTGGAAAGCAACAAGGCACTGTTTCAGCTAGCATTTAGTGGCTAACATTTAGCAAAGTTCTGGAGTCTCACCTACTGATTTTGCTTTACCTCCCAAAGAAATGCTATTGGTAAAACCTGCATGATTTTAAAAAATATTGCAAAACAGCTGTTAGCATTTGCAAATCCACTCCAAGAAACAATTCCTCAGCACCTCTCTCTCCATCTCTCTTCTTCACTTTTATCAAGACAATAACCATATCTTTATTTTAACAGACAAATGAAAAAACAGCATAGGTTGCCCATAGCATTTTGTCATGTCCCACAAGATTGGCCTGTAATTTAGAGAAGTTACATGATGAACAGAGCTTAATTATCCTTTCAGAAAACACTGTAATTAAATTGTCGTATCTTCTCTACAAATAAGTAAGAAACAAGAAACCAAACCCATTATACTGAATGCTGCACTTCTATGGCAACTGCAATAATATATTTTAGGTGAACTGGTTCCATTTTCATGTCACCACTGCACAGAAGTTTTATGTGGTTTTCAGTGGAATTTGAACACTATGCTTACACTAGTCTGTCTGCATATACTACAGAATAACCCACGAAGAGACACAGAATATAAACCCTCCCTTGAATTGAGAAGAAAATAACATGTACAAGTGCCACTGTCTTTTAGTATTGATTTCCCTAGCACAGGAAGGGAAAAGACTTACTAAATACATTGTAAATACAAACATCCTGATCTAAGACTGAAACACCAAGCTTTTTCCCCCCTATAATTTAAAACACAAAGTTATAAGTTATTAATATCAAGCTATTTTTTCCCAAATCATTGCAGGTACTTTCAAATTAGTGACCCTGTAAGTGGGCAGTAGTATTCAGGCTTCTTAACTAGAATTGAGCTATGTTTCCCTCACAAGCTTTCTGAAAACCTTCATAAAATAATAAATAAAATAATATGGAAGTAAAACTTGCAATTAGAAAAACAACAGAACAGCAACAAAAAAAACCCCTTAAGTGTTTTACTTTCTTCCCCTCCAATAAATACCCATCTAAGAATTCACAGATGTGGTGTTTATTATAAGTTAGGTTATAGTAAAGGATTGTGTTTATTATGATATTTTTCATAGATTTCTAGCACTGTACTTGTTCCTGACATAAGTATAGTATAATACAGTACAACATGGGAGCCTGCAGACATTGTGGAAGTTGCGCATTTTACTGTAATTCAGAATACAGAATTTTATAGCTGTGAATGCATTTGCACTTGCTCTTTCCCTTACATCC